TGAAATTAAGCATGAGAATATACTTATTTTCTAAGGCACCAAATTGTTAAAATTCCTAACAATCTCCCATTTGCCCTAAAGCAAGTATGACATATCCTCATTCCAAGACCCTTTAAGTGACCATCGAAACTCTTTTGCGTTAGAGTCTTTGTGAATGGATTAATGAGGTTTTGCTCTGTTAGAATTTTCTTTCAAGTATTTCTCTACGTTGTATGATTTGTCGAATGAGATGATACTTCCTTTCAATATGTTTTGCCATTTTATGATTCCATGGTTCTTTTGAGTTAGCTACTACTCCACTATTATCACAATAGAGTGTAATAGGCTTGTCTGCATCTGGAATTACTTCAAGGTCCATAAAGAGCTTACGAAGCCATACAACTTCCTTTGCTGCTTCACAAGCTATAACATACTCTGCCTCCATAGTAGCGTTTGTAATACAAGATTGCTTTACATTCCTCCAAACTATGGCTCTTCCTCCAATGGTGAAAACAGATCTTAATGTCGATTTCCTAGAATCAACATCTGATTGAAAATCTAAATCAGCATACCCTGTTGCTATAAGGTCACTTTCAAAATATACAATCATGTAATTCTTTGTTCTACAAGATATTTAAAAATGCAGTTGACTGTAGTCCAGTGCTCCATGCTTGGGTTATTGAAATCTACTAACCAATCTAATTGCATAACAGATATCTAGCCTAGTGCACAGCATAACATACATGGGACTTCCAACAATAGATAAGTATGGAATCCATCTAATGTTTTCAACTTCCTTTGGAGTTTTAGGTGACATTCCTTTAAAAAGTTTGATTCCATGTCTAGAAGGCATAAAACCCTTCTTGGAATCTTGCATAGCAAACTTGACGAAAATGTTGTTAATGTAGGATGCTTGAGATCATGCTATCTGTTAGTTTTACGATCCTTTATGAGTTTGATCCCCAGAACATAGCTAGCTTCTACCAAATCCTTCATATTGAATTATTGGTTCAGCCAACCTTTAACTGTTGATAACATTCCTACATCATTTCCAATGAGTAGAATGTCATCAACATAAAAGACTAGGAAAACAACTTTTTTGTCTTGTATCTTTTTATAAACACAAGGATCGCCAACATTTTGTTAGAAACCGTTTGATTTGATAGAAATATCAAATCTTATGTTTCAAGACCTAAATGCTTGCTTAAGTCCATAAATGGACCTATGCAATTCATAGACCTTATGCTCGTGGCCTTTTTAATGAAACCTTCTAGTTGAGCCATATAACTGCGGTCTTCAAGATTCCCATTAAAAAATGAAATCTTGACATCCATTTGTTATATCTCATAATCAATATGTGCAGCCATGGAGAGGAGGATCTTGATGGATTTAAGCATAGCAAAGGGAGAGAAGGTTTCCTTATAGTCAATCCCTTTTGTTTAGGTAAAACCCTTAGCCACTGATTTAGCCTTAAAGGTCTCTACCTTCCCATTGCTTTCTTTTGTTCCCTTATAAATCCATTTGCACCTTATAGGTTTTATCCCTTTAAATGGACTACTAGAGTCCAAACTTTGTTGGAATCCATGGAGTCTAACTCAAATTTCATTGCCTTATGCCACTTTTCAGCATCTATATCGTTAATAGCTTTCTTATATGTAATAAGGTCAGATTCATGTCCATCTGAACGTGCAAACATGTTTTCTTCCAAACCCATGTATCTTTCTGGTTGTCTTACAATCTTCCCACTACGTCGAGGCACCACTATTCGATGCTCAACTTGTGTTTCTGTTTCAACCCTTGAATCAGACTGTGTTATGACTTCTTCAAAAATAACTCTTAAATTTGAAGGATCGGACAATTTTTCTAAAGTAATTTTACTTTTAGGTTTGTGATTTCTCACAAACTCTTCCTTTAAGAAAGTGATATTCACATTAACGAAAACTTTCTTATCTTGAAAACTATAGAAGTAATAACTTCTTATTCCCTTTGGATATCCTACAAACAAGCACATCTCAATCTTTAGTTCCATCTTTGTGGACTCAAGCTTTAAAACATGTGCAGGACACCCCTAAGTTCGTAGATGACATACAGATGATTTATGCCTTATCCACAGCTCCCTTTCTGTCTTAGGCACAGCCTTAGATGAAGCAAAATTGAGCAAGTACTCAACAATTTACATACAATATCTCCAGAATGAGATTGAAAGGTTAGCATAGGATATCATTGATTTAACCATTTCTAAAAGAGTTCTATTTCTTATTTTAGATACACCATTATGCTGAGGTGTCCTAAGAGTTGACAAATTGGAAATTATCGCATTGTCAGTTAGATATTGCTAAAATTCATTTGATAAATACTCACCTCATCTATGTGATCAAAGTTGTTTCAATGGTTTGCCTAGTTGCTTTTCAACTTCAACTTTGAATTCTCTAAACTTTTCAAAGGATTCATTTTTTTATGCATTAAATACACAGAGCCATGTCTTGAGTAGTTATCATTAAAAGTTATGAAATATTCATAACCTCATCTAGCTTCTAAATTCATTGGTCTACACACATTTGTGTACACCAAATCTAGAACGTTTGGCATTCTGTTACCTTTTACCTTGAAAGGCCTTTTAGTCATTTTAGCTTCAACACAAGACTCATATATTGGCAAAAGACCCTCAACCATATTTGGTAGAGTATCATCCTTTATAAGCCTGTTGAGTTTATTTTGATTGATATGACCTAAATGCAAATGCCAAAGATAATTTGATTTATGCTAGATTCTTTGACTCTTTCAATTTTAAATCGTACTACTTCTATAGCATTTGTAAAATAAGTTGTACGCTCAAGGAAATAAAGATTATATCTTACAATTCTAGCACAAATAAAATCCTTATTCAAATAATAGTGAGTGTCTCAATAAAATAAATTGAATATCTAGACTTTATTAAACAAAAGACAGAAATCAAATTTCTATAAGTTTTTGGAATGTAAAAAGCATTTTTTGAAACTGAGCAAAAAGACCATAAGGAAATTGAAGAATAATGGCTCCCACTATTAATGCTAAAGTGAATGTGCCATTTGCCATCTTCATCTGAAATTGCTTTTTACTCAGTTTTCTCTTTTGTTGAAACCCCTATAAAGAATTACAAACATGGTTAGTGGCTCAAGAATCTACTATCCATGTATCCGTAAAATCAACCACTAAACAAGCTTCTAATATATTTAGAAAACCCATAACTTGTTTACTCTTTTAGATTTCGTCAAGGTAAACCTTGCAATTTCACTTCCAATGTCCTTTCACACCACAATGGAAACATTTTTCTTTGGTGTTATCTTTTGAAGCAGTTGTTTTGTTCATGTGCTTTTTCTTTCCTTCCACTGAGCCCTTATAAGTCTTTTTATTTCCAGTTATCTTCTTTTACCCTTGGGTTTGTGCTTAAAAATGGAAACTATACATGCTTCAGGTTTCGTTTTCAAATCAAGAAATTTTTCCACATTTTGGAGATCATTCATTAGCCCACTTAGGGTGTAATCCTTAGTATGCAGTTTATAATCCAATTTGAACTGTGAAAATGATGAATTTGAGCTATGAATGATCATTGATATTTACATTGTCGCATCTATCTAAGTACCATTTAGTTCTACCTCATTGAGACAAGAGATCACTTTTAGTATGTAATCTCTAACTGGCTCTCCAGGTTTCTAATTAAGGTCTTTAAAAGCATTGATTGCTTTCACCTTAGCAGACTTTGTTTTTGTACCAAACATCGCATATAGTTGCAACATTATGTCAGTAGCATTACCCATGCCTTCATGTTGCTTTTGCAATATTATTCATAGATGCTAGTATATAACATTTAGCCACCTCGTTTGCAACAAACCATATCTTATGATATTTAATATCTTGTGGAGTTGATTAGAGAGTTAGTGCTTTAGGCTCTTCGTCAAAAAGAACCCATGAGATCTTGTGATAATTAAGCACAACATTAAGGTTTCTTTTCCATTTAGAGTAGTTATCACTATTTAGAGTGCATTTGTTCAGCAAAATTGAAAGTGGATTCATATTATAATGCAAATATGTTTCTGAAAGTACATTTGAAATTATGTACGCATACTAATTATTCATGAATTTGAACATTTCATGATGCATGTATGCATGACGATAATATATAAAATCCTATAAATTGTATTATTAGTTTGGCGGTCATCTACCTTCTATAATAATTTAACCAGTTGTGGGACGTGAGAATTTACTACTCGGCAAACTAGAACCTCCCACTTAACTATGTTACCCAATATCTTCACACTTAACATGGTTAAGAAGTGCCTTTATTTGGTCCACAAAGTTTACTAACAAAGCTATTGTGGATAGGTTAATAGTAAATTTATGTTGAGTGTAACAACTATTGTTTCATTCTTTTAAGCTCCTTACTTAGTGAGTCTCTATGGGAGGTCTTACTTCATAATCCACCTAAAAGGATTTATCTTTTTGGAGACCTATCTATCATGATCTAGATTCATGTCCACTTGTAAGGAGTGACATATTTCACATGCCAATAGGCCAACAATGGAGACAGTGAACTCTAGGATTATTAGCATCCTCTCCCACTCAATATTTTTATACTTAGGGTTTTGATTGCGTTTTGGCTGAATTTTCTAGATGCATATTTAGAATATCTGAAGTCAAATTATGGGTTTGGTTATGTTTCAAAGTAAACGCTTTTAGTATATAACTAAGTCGACATTACCATCTTGTGTAGATGTGATTTATTTTTCTATATTGATTATATATCTTATAGCATAAAACTCCTTGTAAAACTAAATACATAATGCATGTAGGGCATTCCTTAAGAGAACTTGGCACCTTAATTCAAGATGATATATTTTCAAGCATACAAATAATATCCAATATCATTCATAATAATAATAATAATAATAATAATAATAATAATAATAATGTCCATCCTAGAAAAAATAAAATAAAATAAATTACAACTTGTAATTCTCTTCAATCTTGCTTATTTTCGCTGCTTGTTAGGATTACATCCATTTGGTACTCTTTTGAATTTTATGACTATTTAAAAGCTCTAATTTTAATTTTAATTTTAACCCAATTTGAGAAAATAATTTTATTTTGTTCAATTAATTAATCTCATTAATTAATACCAAAATAAAATAATTTTTAATCCAAGGCTAAAATATTAATTTTCCAAAAACAAAAAAAATTAAAAATTTTTAAAAACAAAGATTTTTTTTAAAAAAATTAATTTATTAAAATTTTTTGGAAAGGGCTCACTATAATGGGTTGTTGCCTAATAGCCCAAGGGTGGGCTGTATGCTTACAGTAGCCCATGCGAGCTGCTGCCTAATAGCTTGTGCTATTGCCAGGAGCTCACTGCTACTGTGTGCTGTCCACAGCATATAGTAGTGTGTTGTGTGCTGTTAGGGGTTGTGTGCTGGCCAGCAGCACACATCAAGAGACTTTGCTACCCAGCAACACACCCCACCTCTCTTTTTTTTTTAATCAAAGCAAAAAATATTTTAACAGAAAAAATATTTTTTTATAATAACAAAATTTTAATGTAAGAAAAACTCTTTTCCGTAAAAAAAATTGATACAAGAAAAACTCATTTTTTTTTTAAAAAAATTAATAGTCATAAAAAATTAAAAAGACCAAATATTACCTAATTACCAGTTTTTTTTGGCTTTCAACTTTTTTTTCCATGGATGCACCAAATACATCAAGTAATATTAAAATTACATGGCTTTTCCTAGTTAAATAAATATAAGAAAAAAAATCAATAAGGAAACATAGCGATAATAGGCTAGCTTTCTTGTAACATAGCCAAAGAAAAAAGTTACATGTAAAATTTTCTAGGACAATTAATGTGGCAAAAACCTTGAATCATGCATCATAACATACAACCAGATATTGATCATATCAAGATAGTTAAATATATGCAAAGGTGCCAACCATGCAAAATAAATATGGGAAACAAAACTTACAATAATCCTTACTGTGATAACAATTTTTGAATTTAGATCTTAGTGGATTGATGTGATTGTGTAAAGTATAGATTTCAAAAACTTTTTGTTATAAAGGAAGCAAGTAATCCAATTACACAAGGGGAAACAAACATCATTCTTATTACAAGTAACATAATCACATCCAAAAAAAAAAAAAAATCTATTAAATAAGAAAAAAACATACCTTTTGTTTTGAGATTCTTACTTTCGGACACCACCACACAAATGAATGCTTTTTCAATCGAACAAGTTTACCACTTATTCTTCAAGAATACTTTCAACTTGAACTTTGAGTGGACAAAGTGTGGAATGCAAAACTACAAGATGCCAACCGATTTTGCCTCTTTTTTCTTCCTGAAAATTATTGGGTATTTTCTTTCAAAAAAATTCAGCCAAGAATGGAAGAGAGGAAGAAAGATATGGCAAAGTTTTGGAGGAAGAGGAAAGAAGTGACGGCTGAAACATTTTGAAGAAAAAGTACGTACGTTTCTTCTCTTCCAATCTCTTCTCTTTTCATTAAAACTTTTACCTCAATGGTTTAATCAAAATTAAACACCTTTAAATCGATTTTGACCATCCATTTAGAGTTATGGAAAAATCAAACATGCTCCATAATAATAATTTAATTTTTTAATTATCATTTAGAATTCTTGATAAAATAAAACTCCTTATTGAATAATAACTCTTATTTTATAATTATTCATCTTTATTTAAAAAAGAATAATAATAAATAAAAGATGGATAGTCAGACATGGAGCTCGTTTTACTAACATGGATGTTTAGATTCATTTTATTAGAATCCTCCTAGTATTATCCTAATTTAAGATAACTCTTATTTTTAATTAAGACAAAAATATTTTATCTTATCTAAATTGAGACAAATATGTTTTTTTTGTCTGGATAAGACCAAAAATATTTTTCTTGTCTTAAATTAAGACAAACATGTTAAAACTGTCATTTTTGTACACAATTTAATTAATCAAATTAAAACATGCATTTCAACTTAAAAAAGCTAAATTCTATGAAACTAAGTGCAGAATATATTTGGACATAGATCTAAATATATTCCAAGCTTCAATAAACTTAGAATTATTCTCAATCTCATTAAAAATAATTCATAATTCAAGCTTATTAACCATGAAATCACTCTATTATATATTCATGGCTACACTCTTGGAGTAACTATAATTATAACTAACAATTCAATATGTGATATTAATTATTAGTTGTCCAATAGCAAACCTTATATTGTGAACCCTCATAACTATCCAATGACAAAAAGTAAAATTACCGTTTTATCTTTTATGTCAATTTTATCCTTTAGTCTCAAATTTCATCCAATTAGTGATTCAACACTCTAGATCTAATCTTTTAAGTATTTAGATGTGATAAGTAGCTAATTTATCAATCCACTGGGCCTAGATTAATCACCAATCATCTTGAAATCACTAGAAGTGATGTTAATGCTATGAACTTCATTATTTTTATATATAGTCATAGATGTTCATCTTGATTATAATCTAAAAATACAAAGTCTAAATCAATGCTTTATGATGATTATGCTCATGGTAAATAAAAGCTTATAAGGAGATTAGACATGAATTTACTATTCATCAAGATTTCGGTTCTGCTATAATTAAATGCATAAACATGAGATCAAGATTTAAGTAATGGTTAAACTTGAATTAGATTCTCACATGATTCTAGTTTACATTATAGTGTCATTGCTCGAAGTCAACCATTTCGATAAGTTGAGACTCATCATTCTCTTGAAAAGAATCACATTCATTTCGTTGGAAGTAATCTCAACACTACAGCCTTAACACAATAAAGTGACTAGCTTTATTATATGGCTGTGAACAATTTTTAGGTTCAATTAAAATACATTTCTCCTATGTATGACTCTTCATACATTTGTGTTTTAATATCTCAATAGAATCTTGGTACCTTAATATTTTGCTGGAAGTAATGTGGATACTACAACTTTAACACAATAAAGTGACCAGCTTTATTATATAGCTGTGAACAATTTTTAGATTCAATTGAAATGCATGTCTCCTATGTATGACTCTTCATACATATGTGTTTTAATATCTCAATAGAATCATGGTACCTTAATATTTTGTTGGAAGTAATCTGGATACTACAACTTTAACACAATAAAGTAACCAGCTTTATTATATGGCTGTGAACAATTTTTGTATTCAATTAAAATATATGTCTTTTATTTATGACTCTTCATACATACGTGTTTTAATATCTCAATAGAATCATAGTACCTTAACAACTAGATAATGAATACTTACTTAAAACAAACTTTTCATTTTATTATTAAATTGTACTTTCATTACAAATTTAATGAAATTAAGAATAAGAATATACTTACTTTCCAAGGCATCTTATTCTTAAAATTCCTAACACTTTATAAGTCCATAAATTCAGACTTGTGCCCCCATCCACCGTTTCTTCAAGAATATCTTGGGCAAGCTTCCACATGCCCTCTTTAAACACCCCACTAATAAAAGCATTGTCGGTCCATATATCAGGTCTTAAACCTCTTGACAAAATTTGAGACAAATACACAAAGGCACTTCGCAAATCCTCTTCATAGGAACTTCAACCAATTAGGATTCTAAAGGTTATTTCATTAGGCTTGAAACCCAAAAGCTCTAGTTCTTGCAAGAACAAATCTGCACTTTCTACTCTAAACTTGCTGTAAAGATTATGTATGATCTTATTGCCAACAATAATATGTGGTATGCACTTTATTTCAACCAAAAACCTCAGCAAATCTTAAAAATCTTTCTTCTCAAAGTATCCACAATCAATCTCATTAATAACTAAACTGCTAGGTTTGAATCGCAATAAAACCTTCTTAAATAGATTTCTCACTTAATGAACCCTTCCATCCTCACAAAGTAACCTTATAACATTCTCGAAAGCAGGCACCTCCTTATCACTCCAATGGACATCCATTTCCACCATGTCCAAGTAAACTTAGAACGCTGATTGAGTTTGCCTCCTCTCAATTGAAACATCAATCAAAGCATGGTAACATGACAATGATGGGACTAACAGTTGGCCTATCATTTTATTAAAAACCAAAATGGCATTTTCTAGATCAACAACACCAACATACCTTTCAACTAAACTATAGAAAATTCCATGACTATTTTTTGTGTAAAATAAATCTTTTGCTTGTGTCATATGGATTGTGCTCAAAATTAACTACAAAATACAAGTAAAGACTACGTGCAAGTACGCATGGTCACAACAAGTAATATAGTGATAAGTAGAGTTTGTTGATCCCTCAAGGAGTTGGTTTACTATTTGTTACTAATTACTAAAATTGTAACAAGCTAAGTTTTATCCAAGTAACAAAAAGAACAGGTTGTTAAAATGAAATAAACTTTACTCTAAAAGCCTAAATTAACCTAAGGATTGCAAGTTAAATGTGTAGTGAGGAAACAATGTAATTAAAGCCTAGGACTATGGTTTCTGCTATTGCTTTATAAGGGTACAAGATCAATTAACTACTTATTTTTTATGAGAATCAATGTTAGTCTAAGTTCCCTGAGCATGCATAATACTCTGTCAAGTCATCACACAATTGCCTAGCTTCATTAATTATCTATATATATCTACAGAAAATTAACTAAAGCTAAGTTCACTAAGTTTAGGACCTATATTGTCTATGTATGATTAATAGGTATAAGTCTATCATATTAAATAATCACCCACTTAATTTCTTAACATGGAATGAACATACATTACTCAAATTTGGGTTCTTTTAGATTATCCTTGTCAGGCATCATTTAAAACCCCATACTCAACTTGTTGGTGATCAAGCAACAAATGAGATAATAAACATAAATTTGAATAAACATTGATATTCTTATAAAAGCAAGTAAAAAAAGAATCTAAAGTATTCCAACTACAAATAGCATCCAGCATAATCCTAGATTAAAAACTCTAGCTCAACATGTTCAAGAGGAAAATACACATTTTAACGAACAAAAACATTGTTCTACAAAAAGAGTTAGAGAGAGAGAATCAAATCTAGAGTGAGAAAATATTTTGTTGCAGCTTTTTGATCCTTCAGCCCTTGATTCCTCTTTTTTTCCCTTTTTGCTCTTGCCTCTTTTTTCCCAAAATGGTCTCTCCAAATCCTTTTCTTTCTTAGTGCAAAACTTTCTATTTATACCCTCTCTTTTTTCAGCTTGACCTAGAAACCCATGCAAGAATATTCATTAACTGACATGTTATCGCTACAAAAAGAATGGAATTTCACTGCAGAAAATTTCCTTCTAACTTGGCATTGCAAACACCCTCATTTTGTTGCAACTAAAATCGTTCTGATTTCATTTGCCCTATTTCTCGCTGCAGCCAGCTTGCATTCTCGTTGCAGTGAGAAAGTCTTTGAGTTGGACATTCTGCCTTGCTTCATTGGACAATGATGTAGTGTTGAGAGCTTGGTGTTGTAGCATTGGGGGTTTTGTTTGGTGAAGGGGGACAATGCTGGGCTTGCTGTTTCCATGTTTTCCTCCTTCAAGTTGCCTAGTGCAAAGCTACTATGGTCCTCACTTTCAGCTTCCTTGTTGGCCATGATTCCTTCTGATCTGGGCAAAATGTTGAAATCAAAGTTATAGCTTGTCCTCTCAACTTTCTATTAGTTCAAGATTTACCTTGATCGGACTTCTACAGCTTAATTTATGCTTTAAACATTTCATCATGCTCAATTACCTTTTAAGCCCACTTGCACCATCCTTTGCATTCATGCTTCAAGTCTTTGCATGTCTTTCAACATTAAGGGATTAAACAATCAAAGGTTGAATTAAGGGATTTTAACAAGAAATTAAGCTAAAATTGCATGAATGAAAATTGGCATCACATACTACTTCTAAAAAGCCTAGAAACTGCCTAAGGATTAAAAAAAAAAACCTAGAAGACTTAGCAAAATTCATATTCCAAAAATGCTAATGATAACTCTATATAATAGTGTTATCACTATGCAACAAAATTCCTTCCCTCTCCACCTCCAAAACCAACAATTCAACTTCTTTAAACATTCTTGCTTGGATAAGCATTGATGCCATAACTTACATGATCTTGGCATGAGCTTAAAACCCTTAACTTTTTCACTACCCGACTTAAAAATTTCCCATATAATGCCCACCTTTCTAACCCCAAAAGAAAAATTCCCACTCTCAAACTCAAAACCCAGTAATACTTCAAGCGCATCTTCAGGTTTCAACACGAAAACTTTCCTAAATTTTCTTGCAGTTTCTGATATTATATCAAATATATCCAAAAGAAGTTCTGTAAGTGAAACATTGGTAAAAATCTTACCTTTCTTGTCAAAAACATGTGGACACCTCAAAATTATAGATTTTGCAATCCTAGAACAGTCAATGGAAGATAAATCAATCAAGGTTTCTTTTATTTGGTCAAAAACAGAAGTAAAGTTGTGCTTTGTAGAGAGACGAGAGAGTAAGAACGATACCTTATTGAGGTGTGGCTTGTTGGGGATGGAAATGGAGAGAGTTTGAGAGATATGGTTGAAGAGAAGGGTGAATCTTGTTCTCACTCTTATTTGTTAATTGCTACATTGCCATAAAAACCTTTAGAATGGAGAAATTGAGGTTAATCGGGAAACCCTCGTAAAAATTAACCTCAATTAAAAACGACATGTCTTTTTACTAGTTCGAAAATGGGAGTGAAATAGTTGTGCAAATATATATTGAGTATACAAAGTTAAGTAAAATCTCGAAAACTTAAACCTACATTGGTGTTAAGCCTTTTATACTCATAAATATTGACATTTATATGAGGAAATGACATAATTGATTAATTATTATATTTAATAAATTTGTAATATGACAAAAGGTTAACACATTTATTAAATTTGTCAGATTAAATTTCATGTGACACAACATAATTTGCTTATTTATTTGATTTATAATCTATTCGTACCATTGATACGATTGATAGAATTCAAATGATTAAATAAACATATAATTTTATTATTCAAATTTATAATAAAAAATCATACATATCATAATATTTATCAAATATACTAAAATTCAATATCAACAAATCTTAATTATCATAATAATATTAATATTTATATGAGTAAATAAATAGGTCTTAATCGTATATTAAACGTGTATATTTGACACGTGAACATGACTAAATATATAAATAATAAACGAGTCACGAGTTATACAGGTATACAATAACATGATTAATAATCATGTTTTAAACATATTTTAAACCAATTAAGGCGTTTGACATAGTTAAGACATGATTTAGTCGTATCATTATTGTGTTGACATGAATCACGATTAATATACGAAATACGATTACCTTAAACTCAAACTTACTTAAATCCATATCATGTTATTACATCATATATAAAATTGCTAGATCTATGAAAACCCGTCTCCTTCATCCAAATCCAAACCCCATGTTTACTTGATTTAATTAAACAATTATAACCTGAATTTGAAACATGATTCAAACCCAAAACGACTGAGTCCGAATCAATATAAATTTAAACACTTGAAAAATTAATCCAAAATAACCTAAATTTCAAATAATTTTTCTAAATTCAATTTCATTTAATTTTATAAAAGTAAAATATTTAAATTTCAAATGACTTCAACACATATAACTTGAGTGTCAAACCTAAATAATCTGAGTTTAAAATAACTCAATCCCAAGATAATCTAAACTTGAAATGTCTCAAGCTCAAAGTAACCCAAATCCAAAACAATCTAAACTTAAAATAACTTGAACTAGAAAATGATCCGAATTTTTTTCAACTCGAAATGACCTAATTCAAACCATCGAATTGCCACATTTAAATGAGTTTGCTCAAAAAATAAAAATTTATACTATTGTTATTTATATTTAAGGTGCATTAAAGTGAATTATTGAGTTATCGTGATACTAACTCAGTTAATAAAATCACATAAAAATCTAATAACGTAATTCAATAACATATAGAATAAGGTTATACAAATCATTTTTTAATTATATAATTTATTTATGTCACATGAACATGAAAAAACTACGTTTTAAATTAATCAAAACTATTTTCCCACCTTCTCTTTTCTCCTCCAAACAAAATGAGTGTTCACAAGTTCTAGTTATTAAAAGAGTCAACTGCTAACTATTTACAAAATTACATAAAAATTTAATAAAATAATTAAATAACATATAAAATCATAATATACATAAAATTAAAACTATCATACAACTGTTGAAGTACCTAAAAGCCTACTTTAAATGTATATGCTAAGTTTAATTAATAAGAGTGGCTTTGGAAAGACCAATGATTTTGGTAAAAAAAATTAAAAGGTTAAAATGAATGAATGATTTTGGTAAGATTAAAATTTAATGTTACAATTGAAAACTAATCTTCAATCTTTGCAAGAACACAATTCTACAGAATATGATGAGTTTAAATACTCGATAAATGTAGAATTTGAGCAATTTAAAGCTGCTCAGAATCAAGATATTGCTGAAGCTCTTATAGAAAAATATATGCATATCTAACTAAGTTTTTCATATTTTTTTTTACATAAAATCATAATTGATATAAACATGTAGGAACAATTTTGTAAAAATGGAAGATGGTAAAAAATAATAAAATTTTGGCTCCATGCAAATATTTATTTAATATTTCATCATTTTTTCTTATTTTATGATATTAATACTATTTACCATATATGTGTTTTTAAGAAATTTGATTTTTTTATGATATATCATTTTGATATTTGAATTTTAGGTAGGTTATAAATTTTGAAGATTGAAACATAAATGTACGTAAAATATTAATTACACACATAAATTTCTCGACGAATATTTCTTGACTTGAAAATTATAAGACAAATAAAAATATTTGATGATATGTGTTATAATCGCTAGAAATTCTTCTGATTAATTTCTATGCTTCATCTTCAAAAATCACAAATGCAAACTTATTCTTGGTCATGAACTTCACTTGATCTTCACTTCAAGGGTCTTGACGACTTAATCTTGATCATGAACACTTGATATTTTTGCTTCAAAGATCTTGATGACTTGATCTTGATCACGAACTTTGCTTGATCTTCGTTTCAAGGGTCTTAACAACTTAATCTTGATCATGAACACTTGATATCTTCACTTCAAGGGTTTTGACAACTTGATCCTAATCACGAACACTTGATATCTTGATCACGAACTTCACTGTCACTTGATCTTGATCACGAACTTCGCTACTACTTGATCTTCACTTCAGAAATCTTTGACTCTTCTCGATCTCTGTAATGCTCTCAATCTTCGAGTGCCTCTCAATCTTCAAATGCTTCCGAATCTTCAAATGCCTCTGAATGAATAAAAATGTCTTGGAGGAGCTTTTATTTATAATGCTGGGTGGGAGACTTTGATGAGAATGTAATCTCTTTGAATTATCTCTACTTGATATCTCGATCACGAATTTCACTGCCGCTTGATCTTGATCACGAACTTTTCTACTACTTGATTTTCACTTCAGAAATCTTTTACTCTTCTCGATCTCTGTGATGCTCTCAATCTTCAAGTACCTCTCAATCTTTAAATGCTTTCAAATCTTCAAATGCCTCCGAATGAATAAAAATGTCTTGGAGGAGCCCCTATTTATAATGTTGGGTGGGGGACTTGGATGAGAATATAGTCTCTTTGAATTATCTTTAAATTATTTTAATTTATTCATAGATAAATTACGATGATTCATTGAAAGTCTTTTGATTGGCTGGACTTTGAGTCCTTGAATTTTGATTGGCCGAAGTTAAGTATTATCTCTAAATTATCTTAATTTATTTAAAGATAACTTAAACAATCCAATTTGATTTTTATCTCTAAATTAATATAATTATTAGAGATAAATTAAATGGCCAATACTTAAATTTTGATTGGTCAAAAATATGAATATTATCTCTTAATTATCTTGATTTATTTATAGATAAATTGGATGACCAATAATTAAATTTTGATTAGTCAAAAATATGAATATTATCTCTAAACTATCTTGATTTATTTAGAGATAAATTGGATGGTCAATAATTAAATTTTGATTAATCAAAAATATGAATATTATCTCTCAATTACCTTAATTTATTTAGAGATAAATTGGATGGCCAGTAATTAAATTTTGATTAGTCTAATTTAAATATAATCTTTAAATTATCTCAAGGGATAAATATATGGCACATAAGTGAGTTAGTTCAATTATGTATCTTTGAAATAATCTAATCAATAACTTAATTATTTTATAATTAATTACATTGTTATGACATCATGAAGTTTGCATGGCAGCACATAATTGGATCATAATTTTTCTCCTTCGACAAATGCCCCTCAAGACGTGTTCACACATGATTTTGAATGTGACAAGTGGACAAGTCTTGAAAATAGTTCCTAGGATTTCTTAGAATCCTAATATGCCTCGGTATACTTGCAATCCAAGTTAAGTTTGAATTATGCCTACTCATAGCTAAGAGAATTATGATTTTGGAAGATGTATATTGCAATAAAAGTATTTGAAGCAGTATATTGCAATAAAACTAAAATCTTGAAAAAAGTATATTGGAATAAAACTATTTAAAGAAGTATATTGCAATTACTATTACATTCTTTAATCAATAAGGACTCTCTCTTTTTACTCTATAAAAAGAAAGTTTTCTTGTCAATTTTTTGCACCTTAAAATATTATAAATTACTTCTACTTATGCATCAACAAATTCAAGATCTCAACATCAAGTGAAAAAAAATTCCCTGCTTCTTGGTTGTAAAAGCCTTTTTATTTCTTATCCAGTTCATATGGTAAATCAATTTGTAATCTTTGCCATGTTTCAAGTTATGCAAATATTATCTTACTGCACTTTTGATCCATGCAAATTGCCAACCTCTAGAATATCATGTTTACTCAAACTCCTGCATGTTACAATTGCAAATTATCATGCTTAAAAAAATCCACCATTGCCACGTTACAATTTCCATGCCCAAAATTATGCTAACTCAGATTATAACTTGACATGTTTCAATTGTCATGAAAGAAAATCATGCAAGCCATTAGCCACATTACAAGCCTATCAAGAAATCCATGCATATTGCTAATCTTTAGGATGCCTTGTTTAGTCAACTTCTTGACACATTGCAAGAACTCCTACCAAACTTATATTTTCTTCATCTACATACTTGCCTTTTTTTTTAATTTTCGACTATTATAATTTATTTTTAATCTGGCTTGTTTGTTTTTACAGTTATATCCCAAATCTACTAGTTTATAATCAAGGCAAGTCTCAATTGAAGTGGAATAAGCTGGCAGCAATTTAAAGGGTGTTTTTTAAAATAGCACTAGTTAATCCATGAAGGGTGCACTTTATAATAGCACACAATTTGTTAATCCTTGGGGTACTCTTTATAATAGCACTTGTTAATCCTTATAGGGTGCTATTTGTAATAGCACACAATTTATTATCCTTGGAAGGTGCTCTTTATAAAAACACTTGTTGATCCTTGGGAGGTGCTCTTTGTAATATCACACAATTTGTTATCCTTTAAGGGTACTCTTTATAATAGCACTTGTTGATTCTTAGAGGGTGCCTTTTATAATAGCACATAATTTAGAATCATTATGGTATTCTTAAAGGACTACAAAGATCTTGTCATTCTCTCCAAGAATGAAGATATAAAGAATAGGTTGTTTTTTCCCACAAATTCATCCTCATTGAAAAACATACTTAAAGAATATTTTGGACAAGTTTGTAAATTTATTGACCTTGAACCATCCTTCAGTAGTACATCTACTAAAAGATCTAACTGAGAAGCTTTAAAAACTTGATCAGATTTGTTAGGCATGTTGATGATTAGCAAATTGAGTTGACAAATCTTGAAAAGGAATTGAATGCTTTATGTTGCAAGAAATATGAGATTGAATCTTTTCTTAAAGAGAAAAGGGAAAAGGTGCAAAGAAAGGAAGTCAATATTTCAAAGATTAATGAAGAGATAGCTTATATAAAGTCTTCTCCTATTTTGAGTGGAGGCAAAGTTAATTCCTTAAAATTGTTGTAGAATATGCTAGAATCTTCTCAGGAAAAGCTTAAGGATTTCAAATGGACGCCTTCACTTGATTGCATCCTTATTCATATAGCTCTTGCTTTTCATCTTTTTTTTTTTATGTTTTAGGATTTAGGCCTTTAAAATGTTCTTTCACATTGTAATGCATTTTGAGCTAGCAATAAAAGTCAATCTTTCTTATTGCTTTTCTTTACTTGTGAAGAAATTTAAAAGATAATCCTATGAAACCTTTAAGATACTTTGTGTTTCAAAAATTTTCTTAGACATCAATTGAACTTCAAAACCATTTAACTTGTGATTGCAATTTGTTTCACTAGCAATTTAATTGGTTGAATCACATAACTCAAAGAGAAGTACAAATTGGATTTGTTCATCAATCTTCTATCTTGGTAGATTCATTATCTCAAAGAATTGAGCTATCCTTAATGCAAGAGACTTTTTTTTTTGTGTGACTGGACTTGGCAATGGAACCAAGTTGCCTACGTATCTCCTAATATGAAGAAGGATCAAGTCATAACATCATTTATTTTATTTTTTTGCCTTAACTTTTGCTTAAGTCATCTTGTTAAGGATTTTCAAGTTAGCAGGTTTATTTTTTTTTATGCAGTTTAAGCTCTTGCCAATGAGCATCTAACCTTCAAGCATAGTAACGCTTCAAGAATCTGCCATTGATTGGGCCAACTCTTACTCCATCTTGATCAACAATTTTACATGCACCATTGGTGTAAACTTCTTGAACAACATATGGTCCATCCCATTTTGAGAGAAACTTGTTACCCATACGATGTGTAGCATTTATGGGTCTCCTCACTGCATGAACTAAATCTCTTATTTGGAATGATTGTGGTTTAACTTTCTTATTAAAATCTTTTGACAATCGAGCTTGATAACATTCCAAGTGTTGTTGTGCTTCCAACCTTTCTCATCCAACGTTTCAAGTTCTTCAAGGCGCAGGCAAACATATCTTCATTTGAAAAACCTTCTTGAATAGCAATTCTAAATGATGGAATTTGACGCTCTGGTGGGAGAACAACTTCCCCACCATAAACAAGCTCATATGGAGTAGCTTGAGTAGGTGTATGAAATGTCATACGATAAGCCCATAAAGCTTCTCCTATTTTCTCTAGCCAATCTTTCTTTGTGCGATTAGCAACTTTTTTGAGAAGATTACAAAAAATCTTATTGAAAGCTTCTGCTAAACCATTTACTGGTACTAGTACATGGAAGAATTATGTTGTTTAAAGTTAAACTGTACACATAACTTCTCCATCGTGAACTGTTTTCCATTATTTGTTATGATGCATCGTGGCACACCATAATGATAAATTATGCTTGTTCTAATAAAAGTAGCAATAGTTTCTTTCTTTTCTTATTGATAAGATGCTACCTCTACCCACTTTAAAACATAGTATGTGGTTTTGAGTATGTAGAGATGCCCTATGGAACTTTTAGATAATGGTCCAACTAAGTTGAGTCCCCAAGCTTCAAATGGCCACAATGTAATTGTTGGTTTGAGTGGCTCTAGGGGCTGATGAATAAAATTAGCATGAATTTGACATGCTTGACATCTTTTAGCATAGTCCATGCTATCCTTCACCATTGTTGGCCAATAGTACCTCATTTTTTTTATTTGGAAATGCAACTTGGTTCTAGATTGATGCGCCCAATAAATTCCTAAGTAAACTTCTTGCAAGGCTTTGTATGCTTCCTCATCTCCTAAACAATGAAGAAAGACTCCATCGAAAGAATGTCAATAAAGTGTACCTTTGAAATAATAAATCAATGAGCTTGACATTTTATTTCTGCTTTAAGCTTCCCATTCTCTAGGAAGTCAATCAACGGTTGTCACCAATCTTCTTTTCCCACTTCGAGGACTGAGATGACATTAGACTCTACATCGACTTCTTCACTTAGAGTAATTGGTGGTAAAATCCGTGGCTTGCAAAGAGGAACTTTTAATTTTGTACTTGGAGATGCAATAGTTGATGCCAAATTAGCCAAAGAATCTGCTTACCTATTTTTTTTCTAGGCACATGCTTTATGCTAGCTTTGTCAAACAACTTCAAAAGTTTCTTAACATAGTTGACATATGGCAAAAGCTCAGGATTTTAACTTCATTAAGTAAAAGGATTTGGTTTACAACCAACTTAGAATCTCTAAACACTTTAAGTTGAGTACTTTGCATGTCAACTGCCATCTTCAATCCTATGATCAAGGCTTGGTATTATGCTACATTATTAGTGTAATTTTTTATGAGAGTGAATACGTAAGGCAATACCTTTCCTTTTGGGGTGATAAAGATGACTCCTTCACCTACCCTATCTTGTCAAGCTGCTCCATCAAAGTATAACTTCCATGGCTTAGAAATTTCGATGAAGAGAACATCTTCATGAGGGAGATCTTTAGAGAATTTCCATCATTTGTAATTGGATGATCTGCAAGTGCTTGTCCTTTGATAGACCTTTGAGGGATATATGTGATGTCAAACTCTTGTAACAAAAGAGCCTTTTTTGCTAATTTCTCTCTAAGTACAAATTTAGACATGAGATACTTGAGAGGGTCTACTAGTGAAACTAAGTGAACAAAATAAGCTTGAAAATAATGCATTAATTGCTTAATTGCAAACATCGCTACCAAGCAAGTCTTCTCAATAGGAGAATAATTTAATTTTGCACCATTAAAAGTTCTACTAAAGTAGTAAACTTCACTTTCCTTTTTTTTATTATTTTGTTGTGCCAAAAGTGCTCATAAAGTACGCTTTTGTGCCACAATATAAAGGATCAATGGTCATCCTGGTGTAGGAGGCCTTAAAATTGGAGATCTTAGTAAATAGGCTTTTATGATTTTAAAAGCGTTACTACAAGAATCATCCCAAACAAACAGTGTATCTTTCTTCATCAAACGACTAAATGGTTGACATCTATTAGCCAAGTTGGGTATGCAGAGTCAAATATAAGCCAATTTCCCTTGCAAACTTTTAAGTTTGTGGAGATTGCCTAGTTCAAGCATCTTTATGATTGCATAAATTTTTGATTGATCAATTTCAATCCCATGATGGCGAACTATGAATCCCAAAAATTTACCAAAAGATACTCCAAAGGCATACTTTAATGGATTCATCTTAAATTGATATTGACACAATCTCTCAAATACTTGGTGAAGATCTTCAAGATGATCAACTCTCTTTTTGGACTTAACCACTAAATCATCAACATAGCATTCAACATTCTTGTGGAGCATATCATCGTATATCTTTTGCATCGCTCTTTGATAAATGGTGCTTGCATTCTTTAACCCAAAAGGCATAACTTTGTAACAATATATTCCTTTAGGAGTTCGAAATGCAATGAGCTTTTTGTCCTTTGGATCCATGTGAATTTGATTATAACCAGAGGAACCATCCATAAAAGATAAAGCCTCATGGTTAGTTGTTGCATCCACCATTATTTCTGTCAAAGAAAGAGGAAAATCATTCTTTGGGAAAACATTGTTTAAATTTGAAAATCCACACAAACTCGAATTTGGCCATTCTTCTTTCTAATTGGAATAATATTTGAGATCTAAGTAAGGTCCTCGACCTCTTGAATAAAACTAGCCTTAATGAGTTTATGGACCTCAACCTCTATTTGAGGAATCAAGTTAAGGTAAAGACATCGTTGAGCTTGTTTAAAGGGTCAAACACCATTGCTAGATGATGCACAACAACATTAAGGTCTAATCTTGGCATTTTCTTATAAGTCCATGCAGATACGTCTCTATACCTTGTCAAAAGATTAAGATAAGATTTTTTTTCTTCAAAAATTAAATTAGCACTTATGAAAATTAGATGAAGTTCTCTTACAATGCCCACGTCAACTTCTTTTAACTCATCAATTGTAGGCTGATTTCCTTCTTCCAATGATGGGGGAGCCTCTTGGCTATCCCCTTCTTCAGATTGTTCATCACTTTCTACTATAGACACGTGATTACATGTGAAGATCTCCATTTCTTCTTGCACCTCCTTTTTTGAAGATAAGGCTTGTTTAGTCACAACCATAGTGCGCCTTTTAGCCTTGAATGTTTCATCATTTATTACAAGCTATTCACTTTTTCTTTTCATTCGTGAAGGGATGATGCTATGGAAATCCTTTAGTTCATGTGCCATGAGGCTTTTTTTATTCCTCTTTTGTGAGGGTTTTCTTTTTAGCCTTGAAATAATGAAATTTCTTGAAGTCCCTTTTATATAATCTTTCCTAATATGATTAAACACTAAACCTCTATTTGAAGGCATGCTTAATCGATCAAAAACTGATGTTTGAATTGTGGCTATGCTTAAGCGATTGAAAACTAAAAGAGTAGATAACTCCATTGGGGTTTTTTCCTCATCATTGACTTTTTCAGTCATTATATATCTTTAAGCTTTGTTATGAATCTTTAACTTTAAGGGTGTAAATCCCAACCATGATTTTGTAGCTTTGACAACATTTATTTTTTTCTGCCAAACTCTACAATTCTTAGAAGGATATTGTGGAGTTTCTTTAGTGAGTTCACTAGGCTCGTGTACCAACTTAGAAGCTTTTTCATCCTTGTAGCTAACCTTTATTAAGAGCTTATAAGCATTAAGGTTGAAACCATTAACTCTTTGAGAAAAAAGATCACTGTGTTCAAACGATGGCCCTGTTGTTGGCCTTACAAATCTCTTTAATGGAGACTTAGTGAATTTTGACTCTTCTAGGTTAGTGAATGGCAAAGTCAAATTTTTTAAACCTTTGATAAGAAAATCATTTTCCTTTGTAGACGAAAACAGTTTCTTTCCCTTTTTCTTTAATGATTTTCCTTCATCATTTCCTTGATCGCCTTTAGGTTGTACCTTTTCCATAAAGGTACTTTCCAAATAGAACTTAGTATCAACCAAATGTGTTTCTATTGTCATTAATGGTTTAGCATTTGTTATGATTGTCTTCACTTGACCATTTCTATGATATTTGAAGTATTGATGAAGTGTTGATGATACTATACCATTTTGATGTATCCAAGGTCGCCCTAACAACATGTTGTATGTTATGTTAGCATCAATCACATGAAATAATAAATTGGATTCCAAGTCATCAATGAAAAGTTGAAGTCTAACTTTTCCTATAGCCTTTTGCCTTTCAAAATTGAAACCTTGGATCACCAAGTGACTCTTCGATAATTCGTTGAAAGGATCTTAAGCTCTTTCATTATTTTTAGTAGGAGTAAGTTGACAGTAGATCCATCATCTATTTGGATTCAATTGATCTTCTGTTCATGACTGTATCTCCAAATAAAAAAAGACCGATTATGAAGGGTAGATCCCAACAGTAAGTCTTCATAAGAAAATGTAAGTTTTGCACCATAAGAGGAATTAGAATTGAACTTAATTTTTATCAATTTGGAAATAGGATGTGGGAATTAGATTTTGATTTTTGAATTGCATTGGCATGAAGTCAATCAAGGTGATTAGTTGTCTAGGCTTTTACACTACCAAATTTTCAAGCCTACTCATACTTATTTTTCTTAGCATTGCCTTTGGCTTCATTTTCCTATATGGCTGTTTCATCATTTTGGATCTTCTTTTTTGATGAGTAACTAAAATCCATCCTTCATTGTCTAGATCCTCAATTGTAGAACCATGAGCTTTACCCCCATTATCTTAAGGATTAGATGTCTCCTCTACATTCAGAGCCAACCTTATCTTACTCGATCCACATTTTATCTTACTCCCCACATTAAGTGGAGAAAGCATGCTAGTTGCTGATACTATATTTGCTTTAGCTATTTCTTTTTTAAACTCAATTTTCCCACCCTAGTATAAATAGATGATTTTGTCTTTTAAGACCAAACATTTTTCTATAGGGTGACCAATTAAAGAATGCTACTTGCAGTAGTTATGGTTATTTACTCAATCAGCTTCTTCTAGTCGCTTCATCTCTAGCAATTGAATGAGCTTAGCTTTGAGAAGTTCTTTTGACATTCTCGTAATATTTGAGTCGATGAAATGATACTTCTTTTCTTTTCTTTCTTTCAAAGATGCTTTCTTTTTTTCTTGCAAAAGGTTAGCTTTTGTCTCGAGTTTTCTTTAAGTTGGTATTCACCTTAATGGGTTTGGTATTTATAGTCATAGATTGTTTTCCTTCACCCTTATCTGCAAAAGCTTTGCCCTTTTTATGGACATTTTGCTTACCCTTCCTTGGTTCTTGCATGGGAGGTCCTTGATTTCCAATCGTTGACATGCTTAATTCCATGTCATGAGCGCAAGTAGCTAATTCTTCAAAAATCTTAGGCTTAATGCCTTGAAGATATAGCGTAATCCCTAATTCATCCTCTAGATACACATGTCAAGAGCTAAAGACTCGGGCAGTCACTTTTTGAAATTAAAATTTAGATTTATCCAACTGTGGATATAATCAATTACAGGTTCATCTTTCCATTGGTGGGCACTTGTGAGTTCAATCATGCTTACCATACGTCAAGTGTTGTAGAAGTGATTAAGGAACTCAAGTTTTAGCTGTTCCCAAGTGTCAATTATCCCAGGCTCCAAGTCCATATAACAATAAAAAACATTGCCCTTTAAAGAGCAAACGAACTGCTTCACCATAAAATCACCGTAAGTGCCAACATTGTTGCAAGTTTCTACGAAGTGCACAACATGTTAGTGAGGATTTCCTTTACCATCAAACTGTTGAAACTTTGGTGGCATCCTTATGCAATCAATCTTCTGAGAGTATGGCTTGGCATAGGTGTATAAAGGCTAAGAGACATTTTCCACCTATTCCTTGATGGCTTCCTTGATTAATTCCTTCTATTGATTGGTGGTGACTACTTTATTAGATTTTTGTTGGAGACTATTTTCCACTTCCGTAGTGGAATTCTCCTCATTATCTTGGCATTGATTTTGGCTAAGATCCATTGGTGCCTTTCTAGTAAAGTCACTAATTTTTTGTCATCATTGAGGCAATTTGTTTATCTTTTTCTCTGATACTTGTTGTTAGAGATTCTACAGTCTTTGCAAGAAGTGCAACTTGTTCTTTAGAGATGTTCTTCCAATTGTCATGACAACTATCACTCCAGAATTCGCTTTTGCCAAAGAACTTTGGCGAAGGGATGATGAAACAGAGCTATTACTTAAGTAGCCATCATGTTCCTTAAGTTGATTAGTACTTGATCCTTTAAAGGAAACAAGCTATACAGAAGAAAACTTCCTTAGAACGTAAGGAAGAAGCATTATACAAAGATTTTGGTTGAGGATTGAGAAAGTTTGCTCATACAATTTAGTAAAAGCTTCTATCTTTCTCTAAGTACCATATGGATGTGTTAGAATATCCATGCTTAATGATGAAGTTGGAAAGACTCCAAGATTTGCTAGAGCAAGCTTGACAGCAGGTTTGTTAGCAAGATTCTTCTTAGGAGCCATTACAACTTAAAGATATTTAGACATTTGTTTGAAGAAAGAAAATGAGAGGTAGAGATAGTCCCACTGGGTGTGCTAGAAATTCATACACATAAATTTCTCTTCAAATATTTCTTGACTTGAAAATTATGAGATAAATACAAATATTTGATTATGTGAATTATAATCTCTGAAAATTCCTCTAATTAATTTCTTCACTTCGTCTTCAAAAGGCACGAACTCGGACTTAGTCTTGATCACGAACTTCACTTAATCTTTACTTCAAGGGTCTTAAAAACGTAATCTTGATCACGAACACTTGATATCTTCACTTCAAGGGTCTTGACAACTTGATCTTGATCACGAACTTCACTTGAGGACTTGATCTTGATCATGAACACTTGATATCTTTGCTTCAAGGGTCTTGACGACTTGATCTTGATCACGAACTTTGCTGCCATTTGATCTTGATCACGAACTTCGTTGATGAACTTTGTTGTCGGTTGATCTTGATCCCGAACTTTACTGATGCTTGATCGTTACTTTAGAAATCTTCTACTTTTTTCAATCTCCGTAATGCTCTCAATCTTCAAATGCCTTCCAATCTTTGAAAGCTTCTGAATCTTCAAATGCCTCTGAATTAATGAAAATGGCTTAAAAGAGCCCCCTATTTATAATGTTGGGTGGGAGACTTTGATGAGAATGTAGTTTCTTTGAATTATCTCTAAATTATTTTAATTTATTTAGAGATAAATTATGATGACTCATTGAAAGTCTTTTGATGGGCTAGACTTTGAGTTTTTAAATTTTGATTGGTCGAAGTTAAATATTATCTTTAAATTATCATAATTTATTTAGAGATAAATTAAATAATCCAATTTTATTATTATCTCTAAATGTATATAATTATTAAAGATAAATTAAATGACCAATAATTAAATTTTGATTAGTCAAAAATATAAATATTATCTGTAAATTACTTAGATTTATTTAGAGATAATTGGATGATCAATAATTAAATTTTGATTGGTCCAATTTAAATATTATCTTCATATTATCTCAAGGGATAAATATATGACACATAAGTGCGTTGGTTCAGTTATGTGTCTTTGAAATAATTCAATCAATAAATTAATTATTTTATAATTAATTATATTGTTATGATAGCACTCAAGCATTTAGCTCATTGGTTGATGTATTATCCCCCAGCTTAAAGATCTGGGTTCGAATCTTTCCTTCCCTAATTATAAAAAAAAAATTATATAGTTATGACATCATAAAGTCCACATGGTAGCACGTAATTGGATCATAATTTTTCTCCTTGTACCCTAATTTCTATGTGATATAAATATTTAAATAAATTAATTTTTTTATATCGCATGCACATAAAATGAAATTACCCTTTTACCTGAATAAAATTGTTTTTTCAATTTCTTCTCTCTCACTCATATAATGGGTGTGCACAAATTCTAGTAATAATAATATGAGTAGTATTTTACTTAAACAAACTACTACCATTTTTATGTCATATTTCGATAAGTTTTTTATTATTTAAAGTAGACATATCAATTGATATGCATGCGAGAATTTGACTTAAAAAGTAAAAGCAATGCATGTATTGCCTTTAAAAGAATTATATTCGAATT